AGACCTCTGTGGATAATTAGGCTCCCGGTAGAAACCTCCTGAACCATAAACACTGAAGGAATTCTAACCGGGAGAAGCTGACTGCAATGACAACCATAATCCCACGCTACTTCATGACGTCACCAAACGTTGTCTTTTGTTATTGTTTTAATGTAAGAGACCCTAGTGGCAGAAATTACATATTGTACGTTTAAGTTTTAGAGGATGCTAACAAGGAAACAAAAAGGAAAAATTAATAAAGACACATCTGGGAGCATATGAACAGATACACATGCATACACATATGCTCACACACTAACAGTGCTGCACATGGCTGCTATCAGTTCAATCACCACTGTACTATGCAATACTCTGCTCACTTAAAATAATATGGCTGTTAGCAGAAGCAGGGCTTGGTGTTAACAACAATAACAATCAGTCCTAGAACAAAGCTCCTCTATATCCCTCCTCTGCACCGAGTGCTGATAAAGATGACAAATGTAACTCGGCAGCGCTCAGCTTGCTCTGCTCTCATTACGATCTCATTTCCATGACTTATTTATGGTAGCAGAAGGAGATGGAAGCGCTGAGAGCAAGCGGAGCGCTGGCGCTCTGCACTCCTGTTCCAATGCATTCCTTGCTACAGCCAGCTAAATGCCAGCTAAACGCCGGCGCTCCCAAATGAGATACACATCTGTGGCGACACAAAAAGCTTTCAGCTCCCCCTGGCCTGCAAGGTCAGAGCAAGGATGGAGCAGGATACACAGGGAGCGAGGGGGGAAAGATGGAATGGCAGAGCTGAAAAAAGGAGGAGCAGACCTGTCGGGATGAGAGGTCGCCCTTACATTGTAGCAATAAAAGGAAGTGCATATTGTGCATGAATGAATGTGTATAGGGTTGGAATTTGGGCCGTGAAGTGCAGTGGGCTGAAAACACATCTTTTGTTTGGGTCAGAAAGAGAACATAATATACATGCATACATACCTCAAGAGAATACATTTCTGCTACCACAAAATAAAACCACTGCAAGAAATCACTCACTATGCAAAGGCAATCTTTTCTGAAAGTAAAGCCGGGACAGCTTCTGGTGTTCTGACACAACTAGCTTTTGTTTGTTTGAAGATATGGATTTTTGTGGACTTTTTTGTGGTATACTGAAAAGTCATGGTTCTCATTTTGTCTCTGTATAGCTCAGCAGCACATAAACCACTCTATATATGGAACTACGTTACAGTCACATGACTCAGAATGAAGTAGAGCTGCACGATATAGTAAAAAAATCATATTGCAATTATTCTAACAGATATCAAAATTGCAATCATTTTTGCATCACAATTTTCATAGTCACTGAAAAAAGTATTAAAAAATGATGTCACATTTGTTGTACCAAACAAACATGATTTCTTACATTTCTTACATCTTTCTTACAAACTGCAGCTTCTGTGATTTGCATATTGCACTAGGCCATATTGTGATTTCAATAATATTTAATTTAATTAATTTAATAATATCAGTTGGGCATAAGTCAATGTTGCTTCTGCCCCAAACTCGCTAACAAAAAAAACAGTTATTGCAGGTTTAAATCAATTAAATCAATTTCTTTAGTCTTTTTGAAAAACTGCTACTGCAGCTTCTGTGTCAACTGAAAATTACATCCACAGAATTGATATGTCACTGGCTCTTGTTGAAAAATCAATTGGAATCATATGCCTCTGAGTAACAATGACGACAAGCTCCTTTGAATACACTGCTAGAAACTTACAACAAGGGGTCAAAAGTGTCAAAGGAGAAGAAAAGACCAAAAGCATGGCTTCATTTCATGAAGAGAGATAACACTAGTTCTGGTTGTAATGTCTGTCAGAAATATCTTTCTACACAATATGGGGTTCAATTCCAGCAATGCCACGTATTTAAAAAGCACAGCCCATACTGTCTCACCTCCTGGTGTCATCGTCCGGTCCTCTCGTCCTGTGTGTGCGGACCCAGTGCTCCAGCTGCTGCATGGAGTTGGTTCTGGACAGGCCCCTCTCTGGCTCCTGCACTGGAGGAGCAGGGGACCTTCCAAGACCTCCAGCCAGGCTGGCATCCACCTCTGCTGGGCTGCAGTCCTCAGTCTTCTCCACTACCGCGGACCCCGAGCCGTTGACCTGCGCAGGCTTTTGGAGGTTGAGGTTGGCCTGACCCTGGCGAGATGCAGACACTGCAGCTGCGATGGCAGCGGCCTGAGCTGGCTGCAGCTTGATGCTGCTGATTTTAGTCAGCGACCTCTCTGCACTCAGGTCTCTCTGGAAGCCATATTTGTCCCCGCCATGGACCGTAGCGTACTTCTCTACATCTCTGAGAGCGTATTTATCACCTTCACGTAGCGTACTGTATTTCTTCACTTCCTTCACAGTGCCGTATTTGTCCACAACTTGTATGGTACCATATTTATTCTCAGTCTCCCTCATTGTGCCGTATCTCTCTGTCTCCTTTAACGACAGCTGTCTCTTCACTTCTTTCTGAGGAACGTATTTCTGTACTTCTTTCTGGAGCGTGTGCCTCTCCCCGACTTTCTGCAGTGCATATCTTTCTCCATCCTTTGTGAGCAGGTACTTCTCTCCATCTTTAGACGGAGCGTATTTGTTCTCTGTCACTGTCACTGTGTACTTTTCATCCACTTTTTGAACAGCGTACTTCTCCAGATCCCTGTGAATGGCGCACACCTCTCCGTCTTTCTGGAGTAAGGGTTTCTCCCCGTCCTTTCGCAGCAGGTACTTCTCTCCATCCTTGTGGAGGAGATACCTCTCCCCGTCCTTCTGAAGCGTGTAGCTCACACCATCTTTCTTCAGAGAGTACCTCTCCCCATCTCTCTGCAAGGTGTAGTACTCACGCTCCCTCTGGCCGTTGTGTTTCTCAGCGTCTTTTTGCCGTTTGTCGTCAGCTCGAGATAGGGAGTGTTGTCGCACAGGCTCACGGTTGCGTTCATTGTTCTGGATCTCGGGCCGGGTTAGGACTCTGTGGTTTAGTAAGTTGTTCAGCTCCTGAGAAGTCCGCTGGTCCACTTTCAACTTGTCTAGTCTAGGATGAAAGAAAGAGATAAATGTGACCAAGAGAAAAGGAAAGGGCTTTCTAAAAGATTTCAAAGATAACTGACTGTAAGTAGCTTTTGTCCCCCCAACCCTTGTTACCTTCGTGGCCTCAGTTTTCCAGGTGCGGCAAATGGTATTTGAAGTCATACTTATTGTTTGTTTATTGTGGTGTGGTTGTTCCACCAATGATCTGTTGTACTCAATCGTTAGGATTTGCTTAGGCAGAATGTATGATGTGAAAAAGACAACCACCAAAAAACTTGAGACACGGTAGCTATCCTTGGCTCCATCTGAGATTCTTGGTTGTTTTTAATTAGGCCCAATTGCTTTTCCGTTTATGAACAGAACAAATTAACTGTGAAAATGCTCCCTTCATGATACAACAAGCTCAACTTTGCAGCATCTCTTGGTTGAAGAATTCTGAATGAGAGGAATCTCTTAACTCTGCACCTTTAGAGGCATTTAGGAAGACTCTAGAGATACAATAAAATACTTTATTAGAGCACTCTAATCTGAAGAATATGAATGTGACTTTCCACCATGGTGACTGTGTGCCCCAAATTTGATTTTACAACCATCATATCCATGTGGCCGTGTGCCTGTGGGGAGTACCGACCTTCTGACTGGTTCAGAGTGGACAAGGGCAGCATCAGTCATGACTTTCATCCAGCACTCCATCTCTTTGGCTGTGTCAGTGCAGAAATAATACGTCCGCATGTTGGGGTGGGTGGCCTGGCAGTGTAGGGAGGGTGGGGGGGGGTATTGACATTGAGAGAGAGATAAATAGGAGGCGCAGGAGGAGGAGGAGACAGATAGACAGAGAGGGGGAGAGAGGAGGAGATAAAACAGCAGTGTGAGAAACAGTGTTGGATGGTGACCTTGAGATACCAGCAGGGAGTCTGTACATCATTCCTGTCGGCAGAGGAGTGTGTTTGTACACAGTATGATTGTGTGTGTGCTCCCTCTCTGCCTTTTCGTGAGTGTTTCAGCTCAAGTGTGGAAACACACAAGTGTGAAAGCCTTCAGTGTTTTTCTGTGTATCTTGGCATACGTAAAGCTGCATAAATAAGGATGACACTGAGGTGCCCAACTAACAACTTTCTGTGTGTGTACATTAGGTGTTGTGTACTGATGAGGCTCTGTATAGTAATAATCAAATCCTTACTCTTTTAGTTTTCATAAGATACGTTTCTTGCAGTAGTAGTGTAAATTTGCTTACTGGTATATGTTTTTTCCAATTGACCATTCCTATGCCCCCCTTTTGCCCTGTGCTACAGGGGCTACACTGTTGAAACATTTGAGACTAGCTCAATCTGAAGTGCGTCTGGGGGCATGCTCCCCTGGGGAGATTTTTTTCCCCCATGTACGGCAACTTATATGCACTGTTTCTCAAGCCAGTTGAGTCAGTAGGATGCCTAAAAATCTGTACATCATTTGGAAATACATGATAGTTTATGCTATGTGCTAGACTTGGCTATGTTTGAAATTTTGAAGATGGTTAAAAGATAAAAGCATTAGCAAAACACTAGCTAAAAAATGATTGATGTAAATTAGCTAGCTAGTTACCTAGCATTTTGCTAACATTAGCTTTCAGATGTAACTAGCTAATGATTGATGTAGAATAGTTAAGTAGAGATGTGACTATATGTCCCTTTTACTTTTTGTTAATGTTCAAAATTTGGTTGCATTTTCAACACAGAGCATATCTAAGTAGCCTACAGGAGAAAGTTGACCGATGTTCTGACTGAGGCTTGCTCAACTGTTATTGTAGTATAGACCAAAAAAGGGCGGGACTTAGGAAGAGTCAATTGTGAGCAGAGAAGATAGATATCAAATCTCCTTCTGTGTGTGTTTAGTACAGAGCTGTAGACGTGGCTAACCTAGCTTAGCACAAAGACTGGAAGCAGCCTAACACTGTTCAAAGTTTACCGATTACCCAGGTGTATCTCTCTTCTTTAACTCATACATAACAGAGATGTAAAAACAACTATTTGTGGGTTTAGGGTCAGTTTTGGCACAGTAAATGTGCATACTATCCCAAAGTGTTGTTATCACAGTGAGTTGCCAGTTTTGGTACCATTATTTCTGCACAGAGAACAAAATCAAAACCTGTCTTTGCTGACTGGCAAATTACCCTAATGCTGGAGATCTCTCAAATTAAATAGTTCCAGCACGTGTACAAAGTGTTAAATGTTGCTGTACATTTATTACATCTATACTATTAAACAAATGAGAAACGTGTGCTCAAATGTGTGAGCATAAAAGCGCCAGTTAAGCCTTTTACTCCACTTTTGGAAGAACTTCAAACACGTTTGATTTCCACGTTTGTAAAAACGGGACCAGCCCTTTAAAGCAGCTGCTTTCGTCATGTAGTCAGAGCCATTAACGATGCAATGTGTAAGATATAAGAGTTTGAAAACTTAATTTATCAGCAGAATATGAAGAATTAGAAACAGTTTTGACGTTATGTCCAAGACGTCTATGTATTATGTTGTAGCCAAAGATATCTACTAAAGCATAGTAACTGAGCTAACTAACAGCAGTTAGCAGAGGTTTTGGAGTGTGAATTCAAAGATGAGTGGAGAGTAGTCTCAATTAGTTTGCACCTGGGCGGCTGTGGCTCAGAGGCAGAGCGGGTCGTCCCCCAATCAGAAGGTTGTTGGTTCGATTCCTGGCTCCTCCTGCCACTTGTCGAAG